ACAGGCGCTGCTCAACCTGCTGAAGCCGAACGGGAAGCTGATTGTGGTGGGGCTGCCGGAGAGGCCGCTCGAGCTGCCCATGTTTGCGCTGGCCACGCATAGGAAGATGGTGGGCGGGAGCATGATTGGAGGGATTAAGGAGACGCAGGAGATGATCGACTTTGCGGCCAAGCACAATATATTGCCCGATGTTGAGGTTATATCCATGGATTATATTAATACGGCGATGGAGAGGCTGGCGAGGGCGGATGTCAAGTACAGGTTCGTGATCGACGTGGGGAAGACTTTGAAGGCTGAGAATTGAAGGTTGAAGTTGGGATGATGATGATGGGGAGATTTACAAACGTTAACTATTATTAATTTTTACTTTTTATGTATTCATGATATAAGTTAAAAAAATAAAATAGTTGAATCTATTTTTTTTTTTTCCTGATGTATGGTGGATTTAATTAATAGTGAGAATGATCTCCTCCAAGAAAGAATAGTTATTGATGTTTTTTATACTAAAAAAATCTTCTTCATTTTTGTGTTAGTTCTAAATTTTTGTGTTAATCAATTTTTCTTATTTAAGGAGTATAAATGTATACTAACTAATCCATACATAAATAAAAGAAATGCTACAGTCTATTACAGAACCAATCTGTCGGGTTCGTAACTTAATTTAATGGTTACAAACCCTGACAAAATGGTTGTAACCGTCTATATTAAATATTTCGATATTTAAAATTGTCCGAGACTCATGATCAGCGCAAATACTTAGGTGTGTCAAGGCACACGGTAGTAGCACTGCATGATCAACCTGTCTTTGACCATTACGGTATGTCAAAATGGGTCACAATCGATCGGTTAATCAATCATGCGACTGTTCACTTTTTTTTTTCTTTTTTTTTTCTGAAATTTAAAATTAATTTTAATATAAATAAAATGTATATTTATGTATTTTGGTTTTGGATATGCGTAAATTATGATGTCAATCAAGTTAGACATTTGAATGCTTATTAAAATTATTTGAATATTATGATTTTTTTTTTTTTTTTGCATATAAAAATTATTACTTAGAATACTATAAATAATTAAATATATAAAAATAAATATCTGTTTGGTCAGCGATCCAATTTAAAAAACTTTGGTTAGTAAATTGGAACTGCATATGCAGATACGAAATAAAGAATTTGATATAAAATATAAGTCTTAATAAATATATATCTAGTCAAAAAGTATGTGATACAACAATATCTTCATACTATTAAATAAAAAGATTAATGTAGGTCATACCCGGCTCGATTCTAGATTAGTCGGTTTTCCTGTGAATCTGGAAATCGGAAGGTTCTTGTAAAAAAAAAAAAATTAATGTAATATGAAGTTTAAATAATTAAGTTGTTAATAAAACTTGTCTAAGTAACAACCACAATCTTCATAACGACGCGTACCAATTTCGCTACTTTCATGCGAAAAGATTGACAAAATACATGAAGACATGCACAAATTGTCGGCACTTTTTATCGTGGGAGACAACGAGAGAATTAATAACAATGCGCGAGCTGTTGGCCGGACGAACATGTCCTAATGTAATTCAAGAAGATGCTACGGTCTCGCTATAAAATCATTCCGTCGAGATTTGTAATAGATCAATTATATTAACGGTTACAAAATATGATCTAATGGTTATAAACACCGACAGAATAATTCTGTAACGGGAATTTAAGTTTTCCATGTAACTCAATGTTAAATATAACCAATTAGGAAAAAAAAAAAACGGTTATGTTATGATATTTTCATGAGTGCTACTCAATATAGGGTAATGCTCTACAGTCCTGTTATGGTACTATTCCGTCGGGTATTTTAAATGTTAGATCTACATGTAGTTAGATAAGATAGACAATCCAACGGTTAAAACTCCCGACAGGATGGTACCGTAACGAAACCGTAGCATTTTTCACTCAATATAAATCACTTTAAAGTAGCTAAGTTTGACCAACTCAAAAATGCCAGCAGCAGCAGCAGGTGCAGGTCGAAACACGTCTATTTACTGTTCATATGCACGCGTCAACCGCAATTGAACTTGCTAAAATTAGCCTAATATTTCTTAAGTCACCTTATGATAAAAAAAATCATATTCCACCAACGTTGACACAACAAAAAATAATAATAAAGCAACTAGTCCATTTTTTTTTATCCCTTAACTATGACATGTTGAGACAGAATAATGAATCTAAAATGCATTTGCATTTTTTATTTAGTATTGATTGGATTGGATGTCGTCTTACTTTAATTGAAGTCAAATAATAATGGATAAAAAAAAGGTATTACGCTTTTTCTTTCAACACTTTGTTTCATTTGTCGAGACAAAAGTGTGCGGTCTCATGCAGCGATGAAGCACACTATAAGAGAGTGGATTTCGGTGCATCATAGTTAGATTTCATTCCAAAACTTTTTTGTGATTGTAAGAATATATAGTAGCCCACTAGACATATAAACTAGATCTAATTTCACTATAGAATCAATGTGGGACAACTCACAAGTGATATTCCAACAAATATGACCCGAATTTTCCTATGGTATAGGTATACTTATAAAGGTATTTTCATGACCAACAATAACATATATAACCTTTTTTATTTATTTTTTTTCCCCCTATTTTTCCTTGCTTTTATAGTTGTATCTTTCTCCCTACGTATAGGCAGTCATGGGGAGACAACATTATGCTGCCACAATTACAAGTTAAAAGGTACGTACTTCCAATATTTAGGCCTGCTTGGATTTTCAATTGATCACAACTGTGAAAAGAAAATTTAATTAGAAGAAATGTTAGTCGTCACAGCAGGTGAAGGATATTGGATTGCCTTTATTTTTCTGGTTGTTTTGTTGGGTTTATTGATACTTCACCATTTCTTGCCATGGCTGTTGTTAATGAGAGACGGTCGTATTCCGAAAGGGTCCTTCGGGTGGCCGATTATTGGGGAGACCCTTTCCTTTCTTCAGCCTCACCCTTCAACCTCGTCCGGGGCTTTTTTGCAAACTCATTGTTCTAGGTGAAAGAATTACAAATCTTTTTTCTTCTTTTGTGTAGAGTTCAAAGAGTATATATGATTAATGCAAGTATATACACATATCCATATAGGTATGGAAAGGTGTTCAAATCCCATCTGTTTTTCTCACCTACCGTGGTCTCGTGCGACAAAGAGCTGAATCACTACATACTACAAAACGAAGGGCGATATTTCGAATGCAGCTACCCGAAAACTGTACATCAAGTCCTTGGCGAGAGGTCGCTGCTGGTGGCCGTGGGCGCCACCCACAAGAGGCTCAGGAATGTGGCCGTCTCCCTCGTCACCAACATCAAATCCAAACCTGACTTTTTAAACGACATCGAGAGAAATGCGGCACGGGTACTCGATTCTTGGAAAGATAAGAGCCAGGTCATGTTCTCAGAGGAGGCCAAAAAGGTAATAATTAATGGGAAAACTTACTTTTAAAAGACGTTATTATAAATAAAAGTATGATATTTCAGTTATATATAACACAAGTGTGCATATTTTTGTTAAAAAAAAATGTATGTGCATTATTATTTTTTTAATTTATTTGTATATTTATTTATTGTGTTTCTGCTTTAATTCAGTATACATTCAATGTGATTGTGAAGCAAGTACTTGGTTTAAGGCCAGATGAGCAATGCACAAGTGAGATTCTTCAAGATTTTCTCACTTTCACAAGAGGCTTGATATCCCTACCCATTTACATCCCTGGGACTCCATATGCAAGGGCCATTCAGGTTCTCCAATATTTACATACCCAGACGACGACGATATTATCAGTTAGCCGACATATTGTACAATTACATAAGTTATATTTGGCAAAATCGACATATGTTCCAAATTACTGGGCATATTTTGCAATTTTGCAACTATTTTACGCTGCAGTCATGGTAGCATAACAATTTCAACTCACCCTAAACTGACACTATATATAGCGTATAATATATAATGCTATGATGCTTTTCTTTTTAGGCAAGGCGTAGAGTATCTTCGCGCGTCAAGACAATCATAGATGGAAGAAGAAAAAACGCGGGAAAAGGTTGCGGAAAGAGCGATGATTTCCTTGAGATACTTTTGAATGTAGACAGTTTGTCGGAAGATGAGAAAGTTAGTTTTGTGTTGGATTCTCTACTTGGGGGCTACGAGACGACTTCCCTACTTTTGTCGATGACCGTGTTTTTCCTCGACCACTGCCCAAATGTTGTTCAACACCTAAAGGTACACATATAAATACCCTCTAATAACTCATCATCACCATCATCGTCTAGTTTAAGATGTTTGTAGGTTTAATTAAAAAAGTAAACTAATTTAGGGGAAAGCTACAGTCCCCGTTACAGTATGGTTTCGTTAGTGTTTTTAATCGTAATTACGATTAAAAACAGCCCGTGGAAAAATTTCAATAAGTTGCATGATTTTGTAGGTAGAGCACGAGACAATAAGAAGCATGAAGAAAAAGGATGAACTACTCAACTGGAACCATTATAAAGCTATGGAATTCACACACAACGTACGTAAGGCGTGTTTCTTTAATTTCTATATATGCATGCGCTTTTGGCACTTAATAGAAGCGTGTTTTTTTCTCTTTATTTTGACTATATATCTATACTATTATAAAAGAGCTAATGAATCTGTAAAAATATGTTTTACCTAAAATATCCTTACTTTATGATCTTTATAATGGTAAATTAGTAACTTAATATCCATCCTTCCTATCACAAATGATATGATTCCCGAAAAGCTTATGC